TGGACTTATTCATCTCCTACATGAGAAAGATATGTATCATAATAAACTTTATTATTTTTCTTCATTTCTTTGTCTTTTGTTCTTGTCTTCTAATTTTCTAAAAATAGATAAAGAGTTTCTTACAGATTATCGAAAGATTCGTTCGAATCCGACCCAACATGAATTTTTAGCTAAAATGGTTTTTCGGGAGATAGAGAAAGATACAAAACTCTATTATCTATATTTGAATTTCAAATTATATACCTAAGACAAGAAGAAGAAATTCGTTTTATTTTCCTAATTTCACGAAAGGAAGAACTCACTCTTGTTGATAAAGGCTTCTTGATTCGTAATCAGGAATATAGGTAAAAAAAAGAGTTATCCTCAACTTTAGTTTTGATTCTTTCCACAATTAGATCTTCTATCACCAAAGAAAGCGCCATTATTATCTTATTTACTTTGATTCCGACAAACTAACTACTTTTTTGCTACAAACACAAATAAAATAATTGAACTTAGTGCTCTACTTGATTTTGCTTGACTTTTGATTCAAAGGAAAAAAGGCGTGGAGCTTAAATAACTCACTCAGAACGCTTTTTAAAAGATTACGTGGTACAATTAGGTCGAATAAACCCTTCTGGAATAAGTATTCAGCTGCTTGTGAACCTTCGGGTACTGTTTTATTCAATGTTTGTTCAATTACTCTTTTACCTGCAAATGCAATGTAGGCATTGGGTTCGGCAATAATGATATCCCCCAACATACCAAAACTAGCTGTCACTCCACCAGTTGTCGGAGATGTAAGGATTGATACATAAAATAACTTTTTATTTAATTGATAATCATATAAAGCAGACGATATTTTAGCCATTTGCATCAAGCTCAAACTTCCTTCCTGCATGCGCGCCCCCCCAGAAGCACACACTATAATAAGGGGTAAAATTTGATTGGCAGCGTGTTCAATCAAACGGGTGATTTTCTCTCCGACTACGGATCCCATACTACCCCCCATAAACTGAAAATCCATAACCCCAATTGCTATGGGAATGCCGTTTAGTTGGCCTATGCCTGTTTGAACAGCCTCGGTTAATCCTGTCTTTCTTTGATAAGAATCAATACGATCTTTATAAGGCTCCTCCTCCGAATGAAATTCAATGGGATCCAGAGAGACCATGTCTTCATCCATAGGATCCCAAGTACCCGGATCGATCAAAAGTTCAATTCTATCTGAACTACTCATTTTCAAATGATATCCACATTGTTCACAAATATTCATTTTTGATTTCAAAAATTTCTTATAATTTAATCCATAACAATTTTCGCATTGAACCCACAAATGCCTGTATTTTTGAGTTACCTCGAGATCATTAGAACTTTCTCTTATAGTTAAATCACTGCCCTTCGTGCGAGTTCGTCTACTGGAACCCTCATTTTCACTACTATTTCGACTTTCACCACCACAACTACTATTTCGACTTTCACCACCACAAATGGCCCTATAAATGTAACTGTCACCGTAATTCTCACTACCACTTATAATGGAAGTATCTATACAGAGTTGAGACTGAAGATAACTATCAATGCAACTATTAATGTGATTATTCCAACTATATTGAGTATCATACATGTAAGAATTATAGTAGGGATCTTCGCCCCTAAATCCATTATTCAGATAATTCGAGTTTCGATAACTATAAAAAGAACTTTCTAGTTCACTCAGAAAAGAATGATCGTTGTCAATCTCAAAAATCTGATTTTCAATATCAAAATAGATGGAATAACTGTCTCCATTCCTATCACTAACTAAAAAAGTGTCATCAGAGATGAAATTCCGAATGTCTTTAACGCCGAATAAATAATCAACATTACTGCAACTAGAATTGTCACGATTCCTCCAACTATGAATGTTTTTCACTTTTCGATTTGGATCTTCATTGGTATTTTCAATAGGACCAAGACTGCCCATTGATTTATTTAGCCCACACCTGCGTTCGAACTCCTTCTTAAACAACATCGAATTAAACCACCATCTTTCCATAGAGTTTTCTTGCCCCCTATTTGCATGAAAATACAATAGATGAATAGTCATTCGCTATAAAATTATTTAGTATGGTTATTATTGGTTGTTTGTGTACCCTTGTGGGGATTTCCTTCCAATTACTTGTTCATTCCTTTGCCCTTTATTTGTGACTGTTGTTTGGGCAAGGTTGGGAGGTAGACACTGTGGATCGGGTTGCACGCCGCAACAGTGATGATTGTGGATCGGGTTGCACGCCGCAATAGTGATAATTGTGGATCGGGTTGCACGCCGCAACCGTGTTGAATTGTATTAGGGTCGGGTTGCGCGCCGCAACAGTTATTGATGCAAATATGTTTATTGTTGGTATTAGTTTCTTGTTCGCCTTAAATTTTAAATTGCACCTAGATTGATTACTTTGGATTTACTGTTAGTATTGTTATCTCCCCACAGCATGTTTTCCCTCCCATACTATAGTTGCTTTGTACTTTGATTTCTGCTGTA